CTCTCTAGAAAAGAAATTGAACCTGAACTTCACTGATCGCGGCATATTGCACAGCATAACTTGGTGATTTTGTTGAGAAAACGAGTAAAATACTTACCGTCGCTAATGCTGCTTTTGGAGGCCGCCATGTTGTGTACGCCCTCAACATCAAAATATGTTCAAAGCTTGAGTTCTCGATGTCAAAACTAGCGGATTTCATTCCTGCAGCTAAGCTTTTCCTGACCAAGCTATGCTGCACGGTGTCAAAGCTGTGATTTTCATTAAAAAGCTACACTTTCATTGGTACCCCTGAAGCTACTAGACAGCAAAATCCATGGATTAAATGTGCTAAGTCCAAATTGTGTGGGACGACATGGACAAACTTCAAAATGAAGCTATAGGGATTTTAGTTCGATCGCGACAGTGGTGCCGACTTGGAATTTTTGGGTTTTGACTTTTACGAAGATAACAATGAACGTACAAATAGAGATCTTAGAAGGTTTTTTTTTTCTAACAACTATGAACTTTCGTAATTTTACTGCGTAAATTATTATTGATCTTGTATGGCTGTTGATCCGATAATTGTCGAAACCAGAAATAATTCACGCGTATGGGGCGGCGTGTTTGTCGACGGGGATATTCTAATTCAAATGAATCTTCACTGTCGATTTTTATTATTTCTGGTTTTAATATTTGTCACATTCTAAGCAATAAATTATGTCTTGATACACTTCTACTGCTGCATATTGTTCATTTATTTTTGTTGCATGTTTTTATTTGCCGTTGTTCTCCCTGTCGCAGTTCGATCTGCGTGTTGCCAATTTTCACGATTTTTCTTTTTGGCGATTTTCCATGTTCAAGACCCTGGGCTTATACCCAGATAAATACGGTAGTATATTGTAAATATTACCATATTTTCTCTGAAGCATATCTTCAATGCAAGTGTATTCAATAATTAATAACTAATAATTGCATTTGTTGCATATTGAATCAATAAAATATGACATATTTTGATCATATAAACACCTCTACATAAGGCCATCTACTAATAATAGAGGACATAGAATAATTTTGACCTCTGACCTCTATTCACCGACTTCCATGATATAAATAAATCGAGACATCTGCTAGTGGTACCTCTCTTTATGACTAACCTTGGTACATTAGTGATCCAATGGCAAGTGCTTCTGCTGTTCCCCAGTCTATACCAGAACCTTCTTTGATTTTATTAAGTCTGCTTTCTATATGAGCTCTACCAAGCCTTGGATGGACTTCCTGAAACACAAATAAAGTACAAAACAAAGTTCAACTGCTAATTAAAAACCCAGGAACGATGGAAAAAATTTGATGAAATTGTATGAATACAATTTTGCAAATCATTAAATTGACCCTCTCCTCTCATACACAACCAAAAAAAGCACCAGAATACACATGACATGTATGACTACAGTCAAACCTGTGTTAATCACATCTACCGGTATATAAGGACCACCCTGACTATAAAATTGATTTTATGAAGTCACTTGGTTTTTCACTTGATATAGGTTTGACTGTACATGGCAAAAGTACTAATTACTAGCCAATAGAATACATGATATTACAAACTTGTTTTGCAAAATAGAACTGCACCCAATAATGTATGTATACAGGATCTCACCAATCATAGTGCATTGAAACAAACTGATTATTGCAAGGTAGACAAGTACACTTACGATTTCTGGAGGTATTTCTACAGACTTCGCCCCAACAAATTTTAAAATAGCTTTTTCCACTCCTGGAAATAAATGAGAACAGTAATTAGAAGGTACAAACCATTTCACTGACCATAATTGAAACTTTCAAACTTAATAGCGTCTATTTCAAATGACGTCACTAAGCATAACATCATGTGATTAATTTTTCATGAAGATATTCTACTCAAACAAACAAACAAGTAAACTAAACAAGCAGCCTATCGGCTGAGATATCTCCGCTGTTAGCAATGCACATTTCAATTAAAGAACTGAAGACAATATGTATAGTATCAAAGCAATCGGACTTACAGTTTTTAACAAGAAGTCGAAAATATCACTTTCTACCAAAAATGACAAAAATATTCACCAAAATTAGAGAATTGAAGATATCATCACGAAATGAACAAATCTGAGAAAGGTCTACATGTAGTATCTATATATGTAATATCAAAGCAATTGAAGTTTTGGTTTTTAACAAGAAGTCGAAAATATCACTTTTTACCAAAATTTACAAAAATATTCAGCAAAATTAGAGAATTGAAGATATCATCACAAAATGAACAAATCTGAGAGAGATCCACATGTAGTACCTATATATGTAATATCAAAGCAATCGGACTTACAGTTTTTAACAAGAAGTCGAAAATATCACTTTTTACCAAAAATGACAAAAATATTCACCAAAATTAGAGAATTGAAGATATCATCACAAAATGAACAAATCTGAGAAAGGTCTACATGTAGTATCTATATATGTAATATCAAAGCAATTGAACTATTGGTTTTTAACAAGAAGTCGTAAATATCACTTTTTACCAAAAATGACAAAAATATTCACCAAAATTAGA